TAAGGAAAGGTTGGTTGTTTATCGCCAGCATGACAACTATAACTAATCTATTAGTAAATGTTGGAATTATCTGTGAATCGATGATCAGTGCATGAACCATTTCTGAAGTGTACCCTTGGCTAGAGTTCTCCCAATTATTTCTTTTAATTAATTATTTTCTGCAATTAATTTATTTAGTTAGCATTTAATCCTGAAAACCCCCATACTTCGGACTTTGGAAGAAATGAATTATCTCCAGTCCCTGTGGATTAGACTCTACTCACCGCTATATACAAAATTTATATTTTTCTTGAGTAGGTAATTATTATTGCACAGGCTTGACGCCTACCACTCGGGTTCTCCCTAAGATTATTTCGCCACAGCAAAGTGGTTTTGTGAAAGGAAGGCAAATCTCATATAATTTTTTGCTAGCTCAAGAGCTATTTCTAGAATTCGGCAATCTAATCGTGGGGGAAATGTAGTTGTAAAGTTGGATATGGCCAAGGCTTATGATAAAGTATCTTGGCTGTTTTTGTTGCAAGTTCTACGATGGTTTGGTTTTGGTGAGCAGTGAATTGATATGATCTGGCGGTTAATCTCCAATGTTTGGTTTTTGATTCTTATTAATGGCTCCCCCTGTGGTTTTTTTTCAGTCAACTCGGGGTTTGCGTCAAGGAGATCCCTTCTCGCCGGCTCTTTTTGTTATAGGGGCTGAAGTATTATCTAGGATGCTGAATTCATTGAGTGGTCAGTCAGATTTCCTTCCTTTTAAGGTTCCTCCTAGATGCCCTATAGTCACGCATTTAGCTCACGCGGATGACGTGATTATTTTTTGTAGTGGAATTAAGAGTACTATGTAGAAAGTTATGAGGGTATTGGAGGACTATTGTAGTGTGTCTGGGCAGCAACTTAACCGTCAAAAAAGTTGCTTTATTGATCATGATGCTTTAAGTGTATCTCGTAAACGTGTTATTTCACAAATCTCTGGTTTTCATGCCAAGTCATTCCCTATTAAATATCTTGGCTGTACTCTTTATTCTGGGAGAAAGAAAAGTAGTTATTTCTCAGATATCTATACCTCGATTGCAAAGAGAATTTTCTCTTAGAAAGAGAAGCTTCTTTTGCATGGAGAGAGGTTGGTGTTACTCAAAAGTGTTTTGTCTTCTATGCCGATTCATATCCTTGCTGTATCGTCTCCTCCAAAGGGTGTTCTAAGTATCCTTGAGAAAGCTTTTGCGAATTTTTTGTGGGGAAGGGATGAGAGGGGCTATCGATATCATTGGATTAGATGGGAGTTGTTGTGTAAGCCATATGCGGAAGGGCGGGTGGGAGTGAGGGCTTTATCTGATGTGTTTGACTCTTTTTCGTTGAAGTTATGGTGGTCTTTAAGACAACATAGATCTCTTTGGGCAGATTTTATGCACTCTAAATACTTATATAATTTGCATTCTTGTGAAGCGGAGTTTAAACTTTGCAATCGTGCACTTGGAAGAGATTAGTCAGGTGCTAGTCTTTGGCGGATCCTCATATTCAGTGGGTGTCGCAGAATGGCTTGGCGGACTTTTGGCATGAGAATTGGATGGGTAAAGGTCCTTTGTGTCAGCGGGTTGAGGTCTTTGGCAATCATAAAGTGGCAGATTTTGTTTTTAATGGTCATTGGAAGGCTCAAATGCTTCGTGAATGGCTTTCGGAAAATATTGTCTCTATGATTATGCAAATACCACCTCCTGATGTTCATTCTAATCAGCCTGATAACATGGTGTGGGATTCACATATTTCAGGTTTCTTCACCATTTCTTCTGCGTATAATCTAGTCTGAAAGGTTTCCAACACTTCAATTTTCTCAACTAATATTTGGTTGCAAGCTCTACCAGCAAAAATCTCTTTTTTTATGATGAGGATGTTGTCTAGTTCACTGCCTGTGATGAAGGAGTTACAACGTTTAGGTGTGTGCGGCCCATCATGATGTTTTTGTTGTGAAAATCCTGATTTGGATTCGATTGATCATGTTTTGTGTGTTGGTGAAATCCCTCGACAAGTTTGGGTCTCATTTCAACTCGAGGTTGGTGCGTTTGCCACTCCTTCAACGATAAAACATGCAATTATTCAATGGTGGCTGCGGCCTGCTAAGAACAAGTTACTTAGACTTCTTTATCAGGTGTTGCCATCGCTGATTTGCTGGCATCTTTGGAAAGCAAGAAATGTAACATTGTGGGAAGGGAAGGTGCTGAACGCCATGCAAGTGTATAGGTTTGTTTTTTCGGATCTCTGTGATATTTTCCAGTTGCATTATAAGGACATGGAAATTGGGAGATACTCGTGGCCAAGATTTTATGCGTTACTGGTTGGATGGAAGAAACCGACCAAGGTCATCTTAGTTAGATGGATTCCTCCTGTTTTGAACATTTTTAAATTGAACACTGATGGCTGCTCGTTGGGGAATTCAGGAAGGAGTGGAGGTGGGTGGTGTTGAGGGATAGTGCGGGAACATTTTTGTTAGGCTTTACGTGTTACTGGGGAGAGACATCTAGCTTACATTCAGAATTGAAGGCTTTGTTATTTGGAGTTAAGATGTGTGTTTCAGAGGTTTCAGTTGCTTGCACTTGGAATCTGATTCTTTGGTTTTAATCCAAATGGTTAAGGGGGTTAGTAGATGCCCATGGGGTTTGCAACAAGAGTTGGATGAGTTGCTAGTTTTTCGACAATTTTTTCATTCCGTCAACCATTGTTATCGTCAAGCAAATGTTCCTGCAGACCGGTTATCCAAGATTGGGACGGAGTTAGGTTCTAATATTGTTTATGATTCGTTTTCGCAATTGCCAAGGTTGGTCCGCGGGGACATCAGATTGGATAAGTTAGGTTACCCTAATCTGTGCCTGTTGAGTTAGGAGGCATTTATATTTCTTTAGCTATGGGACTTTGGTCATGTTCCCTACGAGGTTTTTTGGCCAAATAATGGCAATACCAGAGTGAGAGCTTGGCTATGCAGGTAGGAGAATCTGGTGATGCTGATTTTTCGGAGTTATTATTGGAATCCAATCTCAATGAGATCAAACTGCAGAATTATATCATCAAGCATTCATGACATTTATGCAGAGTGTAAATTGTTCAATTGGGCAGAGTAGAACAAAAGCTTAACTTTGGTCATCTGGACAATAACTGAGTGGCAGGACCATGCAAGATACTGATTTCTACACGAAATGATATCAGCAGAAATGAATGCAAAAGAAAGAAATTCAGCTAGAACAGGAGCCGTTGGATAGGTCTGCTACTACCGCTCAACCCGAGACTGTGAGTTTGGGGGTTCAGCTAACTGAGATACTTACTAAGTTTGGTGAGATGGCTAACGAAATGGCGGCCCAAAGGAAATTGATTGACGAGCTAATTAGCAGCGGAGTTCAACCCGAGCCCGTATCTGTCAGGCAGCCTGAGCAAGAGCCATTTGTCATACCTTCGGCTCAAGCCACCGTTACTCCATCATTCCCTATTCCACCCGAAGAAACTTTCACCTATCCCACTACAAATTTTCCATACACTTACCCTCCTAATCCTTCATTTTTTCCTACTCACATGCGAGGTCCACAACCCCAAGTCACTTCAAATATACCACCTGAGCCACATACTTTTTATCACACTGCTGCTGAGCCTTTCTTGCCAGACCATACCGTTCAAACCAAGACAGAGATGGGAGAATCTTTTGCTCCCGTTGATATGAAGCTGCTCAAGCACCTAGACCGTTTCGATGAGTTTATGAGGAAAAGTCAGGGGTTGAACAAACAAGGAGTCCTGGATTACGATGAGCTTTGCCTTTTTCCGAATGTGCAGTTGCCTGAGGGGTTCAAAACCCCTAAATTTAACAAGTATGATGGGACGGGTAATCCCAAAACACACCTCCGACTGTTTGCCAACAAGTTGGGAAAGCTTGTAAACGATGAGAATCTGCCTCTAAGGTTGTTCCCGGAAAGTCTGGAGGGGGATGCACTCGACTGATACTCCAACCTTAAACCCGAAGAAGTAAAAACCTGGATTGACTTGTCCAATGCTTTTGTGAGGCAGTATGAGTATAACTGCGAGCTGGCTCCGACGCGAACCACGTTGGAAGGAACAAAAAGAAAACCCTCTGAGGATCATAAGACTTATGCCAAGAGATGGAGGAAAATAGCTGCAAAAGTCGAGCCACCAATGACTGAGGACGAAATCATACGTACTTTCATTAAAGCACATGATCCGCCGTACTTTGAAGAAATTTTTCGCATGACTGGATGTTCGTTTGCTGCCATTGTCAATAAGCTTGAGGAGTACGATGACTTCGTAAGAGTTGGGAAGATCGTTAATGTTTCTGCCCTCAAATCGCAGTTGGATGCTTTGCAAGGACAAGGGAGTAGTGGGAAAAAGCCGCAATTTAAAAAGAAAGAGGGGGAAGCCGCTTTTGTCTGGGACCAAAACCCTACACTAAGACCCAGATTTCAATACAAACCAACATATTCACCACCTTATCCCTACTATCCAAGTCCTCACCCTGTCTACAGCACCAATATTATTCATCATCGACCTCGCCCAAATTACACCAACCCGCCTACAGTCCCTTTCCAAATATCCCAACCAAATTTCAACAAACTCGTCCCCGACCTCTTTACCACCAAAGATTTCCCCCACCAAATAGACCTACCTATAACTATCCCCAACCCACTGAAACCTACAATCAAAATCGTACCCGAACGTTCACCAACCTAGGCAGGCCTTTGGATCAGTTATATGAGCAATTGAAGGTTGCCGGTAAAATAGGTGTGATTTCCCCTCCAACTTACCCTTATGGCATGCCAGTTGGGTATAATCCACAGGCTACTTGTGCTTATCATTCAGGAGCGTCTGGTCACTCCACGGCCAATTGTCGACTCCTTAAACATAGGATTCAAGACATGTTAGAAGCAGGGGAAATCGTGATTAGGAAAAGAGAAGAGTAAGGACCGAATGTAAACAAGAACCCCTTGCCGGAGCACGCTGGTACTATTGGAGTTATTATGAATGATAAGGAATTCAAAGAGCTTGTCCAAAGCGTGTCAAAAGAGACAGGAGTATTTGGGATAATGGACCAACCTTTTGTGATAGAGGAGGCATCATATGAGGAAGACAAAAGGCCCTTCATTGTAGATCTAACTCCATCCGAAAGTGCGGCCTTAGAACCTGTGGTAATTGAATTCCCAGAACAAGTGCTAGTTTTAAGTCTACGACAAGTGCCGTGGAATTATAGTGAGCCCGTTTTACAAATCGGAGGCAAACCAGTTTTGAAGGAAGAAGCGTCTGTTGTTACGAGGTCAGGGAAGATTACAAGTCCATCCACTGCTAGCGCCCCAGCTCAAGTAAGCAATCGTTAGCCAACTATCAAACCCGCAGTGACTGAAAAAGAAGCATGGGATTTTCTTAAGAGGCTTAAAAGAAGCGAATACAATGTGGTTGAACAGCTGAACAAAATGCCTGCCCAAATTTCCATCTTAGACTTGCTTTTCTCCTCTGACTTGCACAGGGATGCGTTACTTGAAGTTTTGACTAGGGCCCAGATTCCCAAGGATATTTCGGTTGGCAATTTCTCACACATAGTCGGAAATGTACTGACTTCCAAGCAAATCACTTTTTCTGATGAAGAGTTGCCTGCGGAAGAAACTGGTCATAACAAAGCCTTATATGTAGCTGTGAGGTGCAATGGGAAAAGGTTGCCTAAAGTACTGATCGATAATGGGTCTGACCTCAATATTTGCCCCTGGAGCACTTTGGTGAAGCTAGGGTTGCAAGATGTTAAATTAAAACCCTCAGAGATCGTAGTTCGAGGATTCGATGGAGCCCAAAGGGAGTCCATAGGAGAAGTAAATTTGGTGGTCGAAATGGGACCCGCTCAATTTCAGATAGCCTGTCAAGTTATGCATTTTCCTAGTGTCTATAATGTTTTGCTCGGGCGACCATGGATTCATAGCTCGGGCGCCGTGCCCTCTTCCTTGCATCAAGTATTGAAATTCGTGGTGAACGACCAGCTGATAACCATTTTTGCTGAAGAAGATTGCATTGTAATTGCCGATTCCGAGCCTGAGGAGGATGGTAACCGAAATGCTTCAGTGTCTTCTTATCGTACAGCCGACATTGTCTCCGTGAGTTGGATAACAAGTGAGACTTCAAAAGATGAAATAGTTTTGCCAGCGGCCAGTGTTATGATGGCCAAGGAAATGATTCGTGGAAGATATGAATTTGATAGGGGATTCGGACGCAATCTGCAAGGCATGCTGAACCCCGTGGAACTCATCGAAAAGAATGACCAATTTGGTTTGGGATTCCATCCGACTGCCAGAGATATAAAAGAGATGAAAGCATGCAAGAGGGCAGAAAGGGAAGGCAAGTTAGGTGCTCTAGACATTCCACCATTGCGCTATACTTTTCCAAGGCCAGCTGAAGTCATTACGTCTGAGTTTAGCCCAATTGATGAAGTGGAAACAAACCTGACTCATTTGTTTGTAGGAGCAATATCCGAAAATGGTCCGACAGATGATGCCGAATTCCCAGATATTCCCAAAGGAGCCATCCACAACTGGACCGCCGAGTACTTTCCCGTGCGAAAAGAGTTTTGGTAAATCTACAGGGGGTTGTCATTTACCAAAAGTTCATGAAAACTGTTTCTTGCATATGTAAATAGTTTAATGAAAACATCTTTAGCAGTTGGACTTTTGTCTTGTTTCACTTTGATTTGGAGGTTTATGAAAATGCACAAGTAGTTTTTGTCACGATTGTTTGTTCATTTGTTTATTTGTGTGTTTTATTTGCTTATTGCCTTGAATTTCTTAATTCTTTCAGATGGCCAAAAATAAAATTATTTGACCCTTTGGATATCACTGTTCTGGAATCTGATGATGACAATCTCTATATCACTCACGACTTGGACGTTACGGAATCCGAATTTCAAAGCGAGAGTGATAGTGAGGAAGTATTTGATTCTTTTTCAAAGGATCTTGAACAATATGAGGAGAAATCTAAACCGAACCTGGAAGAAACAGAAGTTGTTAACATTGGTACTGAGACTGAGGTTAAGGAGATACAAATCAGCATTCATTTGAACAAAAAGCAGAAAGAGAAGATGGTTGAATTTTTGTCTATGTTTCGAGATGTGTTCGCATGGTCTTATGATGATATGACTGGCATTTCGACCGATATAGTGGTGCATAGATTGCCTATAGACCCAGCTTTCCCACCAGTGAAACAAAGGCCCCATAAATTCAAACCAGACATGAGCCTCAAAATAAAAGAGCAAATTGAAAAATAGCTTAAGACTAATATTATCATTGTATTCCATTACTCAGTTTGGCTCTCGAATCCAGTCCCTGTTCCAAAGAAAAATGGAAAAGTGCGAGTCTGTGTTGATTATAGGGACCTTAATAAGGCCAGCCTTAAAGATGACTTTCCTTTGCCAAATATCCACATCATTCTGGATAACACTGCCGGACATGAAATTGAATCTTTTTGTGATTGTTTCGCTGGATATCATCAGATCTTAATGGCTGAAGAAGATAGGGAAAAAACTACTTTTATCACCCCTTGGGGAACTTTTTGCTATCGAGTCATGCCATTTGGTTTGAAGAATGCCGGAGCTACTTATCAAAGGACTATGACTACATTGTTTCATGATATGATCCACCAGGAGATGGAGGTTTACGTGGATGACATTATAATCAAGTCCAGGAAAACAAAAGACCATTTGATTGATTTAAGAAAGTTGTTCGAAAGGTTGCGGAAGTACAATTTGAAGCTAAATCCTGCGAAATGCGCCTTTGGAGCACCAGCTAGAAAATTGTTGGGATTCATTGTCAGTAAAAAGGGCATAGAGATAGACCCGGCAAAGATCAAAGCAATTCGAGACATGCCAGTGCCAAAAATGCAGAAAGATGTGAAAAGTTTCTTGGGGAGGATTAACTTCATTGGAAGATTCATTGCCCAATTAATCGCTACGTGCGAGCCACTATTCAAGTTGTTAAAAAAGAATGTGCCATTGCATTGGAATGAAGAGTGCCAACATGCTTTTGACAAAATTAAAGATTATTTGCTGCACCCTCCGATCCTAGTGCCACCCAAACCAGGCCGGCCTCTGATCATGTATTTATCTGTACTCGACGGTGCAGTGGGTTGTGTTCTGGGACAACACGATGATTTCGGAAGGAAAGAACAAGCCATCTACTATCTTAGCAAGAAATTCATCCAGTATGAGACTCATTATTCATTTATTGAGAAAAGCTGCTGTGCATTGGCCTGGGCAGCTCAAAAGTTGAGACACTACCTGCTAAGTCACACCACCTATCTCATCCCGCTCTGATCCTCTGAAATACCTCTTGGAAAAGCCTATGCCGACTGGGCGCCTGGCCAAATGGCAGATGATTCTTTCGGAGTTTGATATTGTTTTCAGTTCACAAAAGGCCGTCAAGGGACAAGCTATAGCCGATCATTTAGCAAAGAATCCAAAGGACGATCATTATCAACCACTCCATACCTATTTCCCTGATGAGGAGGTTTTATTTGTCGGTGCCGTAGAAGATATGAGCGAGTGGTGCCCTGAATGGAGATTGTTTTTCGATAGTGCAGCCAATTCTTTTGGAGCTGGAATAGGAGCAGTTCTTGTATCCCCAGAAGGGAAGCATTATCCTAGAGCCGCTAAATTGCAATTTGCTAGCACAAATAATATGGCCGAGTATGAAGTGTGACGCCCCGAAAAGAATGAGAGTGGGAACCCGGAAATTTTCTAATTTGCTAAGATTTATTTTATTTAATCGCCCGCCTTTTCTACAGTTCTTTATTAGAAAAATTTCTCAGATAAAGTTTATGAGCAAAGATAGTTTAAAAAATGATTTTTCTAGTATCGGTTAGTTTTTGAGAAATTAAAAGCGTATTTTGGACGTGGAACCCGCTAGTGCGGTAAATGCATTATATTTTGACGACTTGTTGGAATTTTGTATTAAGTGATATTATTTTTCCAAGGTGTTAAGATATTTGTATTGGAGAGACAAAAAGATAAGTGTGACGGCCCCACTTTCCCCTAGGGCGTACCAAAGGGTTCGGCGGGTCGCCTGCCCAGCTCTCGCCAGGACTCACTCGTTCACTTCAATCCTCAATTAAAATCGAAATAAATCACGGGAATAAATATAACGATGATCCAAAACTTAACGCAAAACTTATGTACATTACTATCTCAAAAGGGAGTACAAACATCGAATATAAAAAGATTCTCAGTTCACCACACATCCAGCCCGTGCCAAGCACTAGGGCGAGAACCATTACAAAACCAAAAACTAGTCTAGGCTAGTCTAAACTGAGCTCTCGTCCTTGCTCGCCTTCCCCTATTAAGGAAAACAAACTAAAGGGGTGAGCTAAAAACTCAGTGAGATTCTATATACAAAAACAAGTAATTGAACAAGGACATTAATCATGTCATAACAAATAATCCAGAAAACATGTCCAATATAAAGCAATGATAATGCATTCATTAAAAGGATACGGGCTCACAAGGAGCTATTTGTTCGTTCGTTCGTTCCCTTGATATTTCCCCTTATTACTCCAATTATTTGAAAATTTCCTTTTTTTTTTGAGAAGTAAAACCCTCGTGCCTGCGTTCATTCATTCATCCCTTTCCGGACGTTGGCCGGACTCCACCCATCCGGACATGGCCGGACTACAAGGTAATACTCGAGTATACCAAATGTTCACCCAGGTCACCATATCGCCCGACCGAATCCGCTTCTGACTCGAGTCGATCGGTAACAAGAGCAAGGGCCCAGTTCAGCCAAAAGGTTTACATTCAGGCGCAACTTGTATTTCAACATTTAATCACCGAAAATTTCATATTTATTTAGGTCGAGTGCGATAAAGTACACACTCACCTAGCAAAAGTTCATTTTAGAAATCATAGAAAACAAGTAACATTTAATGAAATAGTCACAAATAATCACATAGACCCAACAATCCACATAGTCATAGAAACAAAACGTATATAGAACACTCACCTATTTAAGCAAAATAATGTCCAAAGTATCCTCCCGAATAACACTCTCAATCACCAAGAAACCCTAATAATAGCCAAGAGAAAAATATGACAGTTAAACCCCTCCAAAGGTTAAGTGGACCAAAGAAAATTCAAATAACTACTAATACAAAGTGTAAGTATAGTTTTCTAGTTCTCGAGCGTAAATTTGGACAGCATACCCTTTGTGTTTACCAAATTTTCCAGCCATTTTGGCTTCATTATTTTGCTCAATCCAACCCGAAGTTGTCCATGACACAAATTCAGTTCAATAGCCATTCCATAGGCTCAATACAATACAAGAACAAAAATTAAGTGATAACAAGTGCGGAAATGTAACCTACCCAAAGACAGATTTGACGTGTGGTTACGGAAAAAATACATCCTAGGCTACGCTTATCGGATTGGTATGTAACTTATACCGTTTCGAAGCTAAGGCGAAGTCCTACAACTTCCATGAAGGTCACTTAGTCAGATTTCCAGGGTAACCTGGTCATATTCCCAAGTTACAGAACCAACTTCCAACTTGACGGCTAATTAACTGCACTAGACTAGAATGGTCATATCTCAGGCTACCAAGGTCTGTTTAAGGTGTTCTTAGATGCGTTTAAAAGCTAAGACAGAGTACTAAAACTTTCATGTTTTGGAAAAAGGCTAAATCAGTACAGATCCTAGTGAATAAACATGATAAACTGGATAAACTGACCAAACGGACTACTGGGAAAAACCTTAAAATAGTGAGGGTATTTTGGTCTTTTTACAGGCTACGTTGCTCCGATTGAGCTGAAATTTTGTAGGTACCTATAAAATACCATTCTCTACAACTTTCATGTTTTATGCCAAGCCCAATTCGGCCTCTAACATGGTGCAACAAAAACGAGCAGAATAGGATGAAAATTTCCAGAAATCTGAAATCTTTTGGTTTCAATTGAACTTTCTTCAATTCCTTGTTCCAATCACTACCAAAGCCCCTTGTATAATCTTATATTCAACATATAGTAACCATATAGCAAGTTTGGGCAGAAATTTATCAAATCCTAACTCACTTATATCATCCAAAATCATCACAACAACTTGTATAACTTGTAATCTAACCCAAAACATGAACTATTTAACATCTTAAACAAGAGTAAAATGATCAAAGCCATAGATCAGATTTTATACCTCAAAGACAAAGCTTGGAAGAGTGATACTTCACCTCCTTTGGAAATTTGTAGTTCCCCTAACTTCCCAAGATCACAACTCACTCTTTAATCGGTTTAGAATTTCATTTCCTCACTTGGTTAATGCAAATCAAGAAGAAAAAATGGTTTCTCTTGCTTTCCCTTTTCTCTCTCAAAAATTTCGTCCATAAGCAAGAAAAAATGAAGAAGAAAGAGCTTAGTTTGTCTGATAAGAAGGTTGGAAAGATAAGAATTAATTCTAGCCACAAGTTTGTCTAACACTTGGTTGAATTACAACCACAAAATTTTCTCTTTCTTTCCTTGCATTTGAGCCATAAATTTCGGTCAAGCTTAGCTGTAAATTAGGAGATATTTTGCTCAAATATCAATAAACTTGTATGGTAAGAAAGTGGTGGTCAAGTGGTGCGTTCAACCGGTAGTGCGCGGGACCCGCCGGTTCGCGCCGTTTTTTCTTTAAAACACACATACTAGGGTTTTTCCTTCCTATTCACTAACCTTATATCATTGCTCCTAATTACATATTATTTCTCACTTAAAAGTCACTTTTAATCACCAAATTTGGTCCTTGCTCCGTACCGAAAAATCATCCGGCGAAAAATCGCGAAAACCCTAATTTGCTCAAATCTTGAAAACGAAGAATAAAACCCTACTTTCTAGATTCATTTGCACTTATTATGGAATAATTGGATAGTAAGGCTTTAATAAATGATAATTTTCAAATAAAAGGAAATTTTTAAGAAAACGTGAGGAATTTTCCAATTCCAGTAATTAAAATTAGGGTTTCAATTAAAATAGGAGAGATTTAGGAAAACCGGTTAGTAACAAGTAAACTAGGGTTTTGACTAAAATATTAGGGTTTCTAGTCTTTTAAAACAAAATAAGGTTTTAAATCAAACCCCAAAGAAATACACTTTAATATTTTCTTCACAAACAATCTCCTAATATTCGGGATGTTACAATCTCCCCTCCTTGAAAGAATTTCGTCCTCGAAATTCATACATGCACTTCGAATAACGTAGGGTATTTTCCTTATACATTCGTTTCCAGCTCTCAAGTCTCATTATAACCACTAAGTAACAGCATAAAATAGAATAATGCAAATCATAAACCTCTATAAATCATAAAACAGGGCAATACAACACATTCAATCAAAACAAGTCACATAACCTATAGAGCATCAACCCTAGGTATCGCTCAGGCACTACACTTAATCAAGGCTCGAAACACGTGGATAAGAAGGATCCCAAATCCCATGAATATCTTCAATATATTTAAAGTCCATACTATTCACATTCCCCGTGCCTTTACTTTCGCAATCCAAACTTATCTCAATATTACGCGAGATCTCAACTTATCGTAAAGGTATCACTCTTTGGCATTCGGGGACAAGAATCCGAAAATATGATAATTCACCACTCAAGCTGGCCAGGGTTAAGAGCAAATCACCCGTATTAGAGATTCCTACCCAACATACATATCTAAAGTCCCCAACAATAGACAATTGTTCCACACTTAACAAGTCATTCCCCACAGTTTGAGAACCTTCTCCCGGCACGAGCTCAATAGGAGCTCTGATACCACCTGTGACGGCCCCACTTCCCCCTAGGGCGTACCAAAAGGTTCGGCGGGTCGCCTGCCCAGCTCTCGCCAGGACTCACTCGTTCACTTCAATCCTCAATTAAAATCGAAATAAATCACGGGAATAAATATAACGATGATCCAAAACTTAACGCAAAACTTATGTACATTACTATCTCAAAAGGGAGTACAAACATCGAATATAAAAAGATTCTCAGTTCACCACACATCCAACCCGTGCCAAGCACTAGAGCGAGAACCATTACAAAACCAAAAACTAGTCTAGGCTAGTCTAAACTGAGCTCTCGTCCTTGCTCGCCTTCCCCTGTTAAGGAAAACAAACTAAAGGGGTGAGTTAAAAGCTCAGTGAGATTCTATATACAAAAACAAGTAATTGAACAAGGACATTAATCATGTAATAACAAATAATCCAGAAAACATGTCCAATATAAAGCAATGATAATGCATTCATTAAAAGGATACGGGCTCACAAGGAGCTATTTGTTCGTTCGTTCGTTCCCTTGATATTTCCCCTTATTA